TAAATATATATACTGTAATCTGCATTTGTTGCACAAAAAGTTCCCAAAGTAATTTTATTTAATGCTGATTGCAACATTTGACTAGGATCACAGGCACGCGCCATAACCGCAGTATTTGATTAAACCGGAATGGCTATTTGCATCTCGTCTCCTGTTATGTTGTTTGTATTAATGGGATTGTTCCATCGTTTGTAAAAACGAATTTAATGTACTGTATATAAAAAGTTTGAAGGTAGGTAGGGATTTTTATAATTGCAACCCTAAAATTTTTATTGCAATTGTATACTGTCAGGGGGTAAAAATCGTAACGCGACGCCAGTCACGTGATTAATCGTCGCGTTGGTGCCAGGAAGGATCCGTTCCTATCATGGATCTTTGAAATGATATAATGGAAAATGCAAGCGATAGTGATGGAAAATGGTTAGAATAGTAGTAGAGTAGCGTGTTAGAGAATTAGGTAATAAGGGGAGGATCGTGAAAACAATTGAATATTATAAAACAATTGTAATTGAGCATTATGTAATTAGGGAGCATCGTGAGAAGACGTTAGATAATTGATGTCACCTTTATTTTTAGAATGTAAAACTGTCCCAATTAAGATGTATAAAAAGAGGGAACTAAAAAATAAATAAAGAACAGGAATTAATTGAACTATCTTTTTACTCGACCAAATCTTACACGCCTTAAAGTCCGCTCAGACCCCTTACCTCATCGACGGTTACGCGACGTTCTGCCCATTTTAGCGACAGACTCACCGATTGACTGTCACAATACGTATAATTTAAAATAAAAAAGGGGGCCATAAAAACCTTATCTACCATTTGTTGCCTTTAAGGTATGTGAGATGCAGTATAAGTAATATATACAGCAGGAAAAATCTTCTCACAAGTTAACGCATATCTCTAATATAAAATGAGGGCTTCTAAAAATAAATCTGCATAATTTTCCTATCTACGGTTCAACAGCCAAGAAGTACCTTTACTTTACCCAAAGACTCATTTCCCTTTCTGTCACCTCCATTTGTGTGCAACTTCGTAAAGAAAAAACCTTCCCTCTATCCCTATAATTTTTATTTTCGTTGAATCCATGAAGTCTATTGGTATATGGGGGAGCAACGCAATAGCTTGTATTCCAGGTTCGTTATGACTAGCAGGTTTTAGTTGTTAGTTAGCTTACAACTTTGATACATTGCGAAAAAGTCGAATGTTATAAACATATTTTATTTTTTTATCAACTTTTTTTATTTATCATTTTCACATTTCATTGAGCCCCATTATGTCCACTGATTCTGAAAGGTGTCAGTTTATTTCTTTTGAGATTTTATGAGAGACCATTGTTTTTTATATGTTCTTTAGAAATGGAATTAATAGGACTATTGATGTATAGCACTGTCATCAAGTTTTGTCACAACTTCTAGTCGGTATACACTTCTTTTGTTGGCTCAGTCTATGTATTACGAAAATTGAGTAATTTTCATTCAATTTTTTTAAGGTTTTTGGGGGGTTTTTTTTAGAGGAAAGGGAAATTTAATTGGGATAAGTTGTGAGAATTCAAAGGCAAAATTATAATTTTAGTAAGGAGCTGCCAAATCCTAATTCATTCTTTTTGGTTAAAATGTAGTATCACCTATATTGTATTTTGATTTTTTTTGTATAGATAGGATAATTTATTTTTTAAATTATTAAAAAAAAATTAATTTGAATTATTTTTTTGAAATATTTTAAAAATTGTTAAGGAATTTTTTTATTGTTTCTAATAGTTTTATAATAAAAGCTTTATTGAATAATATCAATAATTACAAATAGAGTGTTGTTTAATAATAAATATGAATTAAGAAGTTCTATTTTGATACTATTAATAATTATATTATTTTTATATGACTAAATATGTTAAAAACCATTAAAATTTAATTTTTAAAATATTGATTGTGAAGAAAGATTGGAAGAAATATTAATTGTTTAAAAAATGTGTTTATCTTCTTGTAATAAGTTAAGGATTTTGTTAATTATAATTATTAATTAGTTTTTGAGATTTTTAAATAGATTATAAAATATTTGTAATATTAATATGATTTTATTAGTAAATATTATTTAACAAAAGTCATAGAATAATATATTAATTAGTTAGTCTAAGTATCTACAAAGATTATTATTAAAATTAATTATTAAATATTTTTTTAAAGTAAAAAATTATTTTTGAATTAATTTAAATAAAAAACTATTATAATATCTAATTTTATTTAATTATTATAATGAATAATATTAAGTTTGTTGCTAATACTAACAAAAATTATTATAAACTTTACTAGTAATTAAAAATAAAAGATAAACAATAAAATGTTTTTATTTGACTAAGTTTTTATTAATTAACTTTTAATTTCTTTGTTTTTTATATGGTTTTTTATATTATATATAAAATAAACTAAACATCAATTAACAAATATAGAAAAATAAAATAAAATATTATTATATAAGGATTATATAAAAAATTTTACAATGTTATTTTTACATTTTACAATTATTAACTAGTTATTCTAGAATTATATTCTATAATACTTAGTATACATTAATATATACAAATAATAATATTATTTATATTATTTTTTTATTGTATTTTTCAATTGTCTTAGGCTATATTTAATAACACTTGATGCAGATATGTGACAATAATATATATTATTTACTTCTTTGAATATTTTTAATTTAAGAAGCAATATACAAAACAAATAAATTAAATTTTTATAATCACTAATATTTTTTATGCTTTATGATTTTATTTGTTTCTACTTAATTTACATTATTTATTTGATTATCATTATATATATCGATGAAACTATAGATTCTTAATAATTATTTGACACAATTAATTGTGTCACTATTAAACTTATAAAATAATTAAGTCATACAATTATTTTTGAGGATTTGGAAAATTGATTCGATAGTAAAATAGTTTATGCTATGTGTATAATATTATTTAATTATAATATTATTTGTATATAACATTAGACAAATTATACTTATACACTTTTACTCAAATTGATGCATTAGCTAATTTTATTATATCTCAGCATCTAAAATCACATTAAACAAAATTACATATTTAAATATACATTAAAATATAATAGTAACATTATTAATTTAACAAATCAAAACGGTATTTTTGTTTATTTAATCAATCTTTTTAGACTTTAAGTTTTATAAACATGTATTGTTTCGTAACATGAGATTATAAGAATTTTCGTTAACTCAATGAAACTTATTGTTCAAATAACAAACTAAATTCATTATTTATTTATATTATTATAATAATGAAAAGAACTTATATTAATATCGATTGTCTATTTAACAAAGAATCAAAACTTTAAATATTATTTACCTTCAGATTTCAAATTTTTATTAATTAATAAATTATATTAATATTAATTAATCGTATATTGTAAATTTTATTTTATATACTGTACTACATTTATTAACTTCTGATTTATTATTTAGTAGCTTTATTTATAATTTTTTTTATAATTGGTCTTTCATATTGTTTAGGTTTCGTTAAATTCTGAAACCCTTTTGATGTATCATTAGTAACTTTAGGCCTTACTCCTCCAATGATATGAGATACAAGTTTACGACTGTAGGGATGAGTTTAAATGATCAATTATCCTATCAATTCCCATATAAGAATTCCAAAACTATAAATGAGCAAAGGTAATACCTCTAAGATTTCTGGTACTATAAGGCAATATTCCATAGAAGTATTTATAATTATAAAAGACTTCTTGTCATAATCCTAAATCTTCTATTTGAACTGATTCTTGTTTTCCACCCACTCCAATTAAATATTCAGAATGCAAATTCAATGTATTATTCTGTTATTGTGAATTTGTTGTAATCTATATAATTGAAAACTGTCATATTTATATAAAATGATTTACTAATAAAAACATAACCGACTGCAATATGGCATAATTATCTATCCTTTGTTGCCATGAATCTTTTCAAAATTTTCTCGTAAATACTGTTCTAAACATTTCTTTTAACATATTCCATAATGTTAAAAACACATTTATTCCTCTAAATTTGTAATTTCAAACAACACTATGTTATAAGCAGTAAATATAAATAATTTATTGGTTGCGCATACAAAAAATATAAACATACTTTTTCTATAAATGTATATATTCAGATTCTTTGATTATATAAAATTCTAGGGCTACCTTTATTTTTCCAAAGCAACACTCTTCAGCTATTCAATATCCTTAACACAGAATATGTTATGACACAAGCAACTTCGAATTCAATGTGTGTCATGTCATTTCTCATTTCTTGTATCTCATAACATTTTATAGGTTATTCCACGTCCCATATCCAATGTACAGTATTATAATTGGTTTCATTTCTAGTGGTATAATGAAATCTAAAAGGTGATTCGTTATATTTATTTAATATCCTGTAAGTTATCGCATAACTTCTTAATGCAAAAGCATTATCTGATGCTATCAATTGAAATATGAAAGTGATTCGTTATGTCTATTCACATTATCCAAATGCAATGGCATTGTTTGTGTATATTTCTAGGGATTTGTTGGAATCTGAAAGTGTTTCATTACATTTATTCAAGATTCTGTAAATTGTTTGACGATTTTTTAATGCGAAGGCATCATATGGTTCTACTTTTAATGATCTATTGAGGTCTGAAAGTGATTCTTTGTATTTATTCATTATTATGTAAGTTGCTCCGCGATTTTTAGATGCGAAAGCATTATCTGGTTCTATTTCCAGTGATCTATTGAGATCCGAGATTCGAAAGTGATTCGTTATATTAATTTAACATTATGTAAGTTGCTCCACGTCTTCTCAATGTAAAAGCATTATCTGGTTCTATTTCTAGTAATTTATTGAGATCTGAAAGTGATTTGTTATATTTATTCAACATTCTGTAGGTTTCTCCTCGGTTTTTTAATGCAAAAGCGATGTCTGGTTTTATTTATAGTGATCTATCGAGATCTAAAAGTGATTCGTTGTATTTCTCAATATTCTGTAAGTTTCTCCACGTCGGCTCAATGTAAAAGCATCATTCGGTTTTATTTCTAGTGATCTATTGAAATCTGAAAGTGACTCGTTATATTTATTCAATATTCTGTATGTTTCTCCACGGCTGCTCAATGCAAAAGCATCATCTGGTTTTATTTCAAGTGATCTATTGAGATCTGAAAGTGATTCGTTATATATATTCAACATTCTGTAAGTTTCTCCTCGATTTCTCAATGTGAAAGCATCATCTGGTTCTATTTCTAGTGATCTATTGAGATCTGAAAGTGATTCGTTATATTTATTCAACATTCTGTGAGTTTCTCCTCGATTTCTCAACGCGAAAGCATCATCTGGTTTTATCTCTAGTGATCTATTGAGATCTGAAAGTGATTCGTCATATTTATTCAACATTCTGTAAGTTGCTCCGCGAATTTTTAATGCGAATGCATCATCTGGTTCTATTTATAGTGATCTATTGAGATCTGAAAGTGATTCGTTATATTTATTCAGCATTCTGTAAGTTTCTCCTCGATTTCTCAATGTGAAAGCATCATCTGGTTCTATTTCTAGTGATCTATTGAGATCTGAAAGTGATTCGTTATATTTATTCAACATTCTGTGAGTTTCTCCTCGATTTCTCAATGCAAAAGCATCATCTGGTTCTATTTCTAGTGATCTATTGAGATCTGAAAGTAATTCGTTATATTTATTCAACATTTGTAGGCTCCACGAATTTTTAATGCAAAAACATTATTTTGTTCTAATTTCTAGTAATTTGATAATGTATGTAAAGGCATTACAGCATTTTTGTGATTATCACGCAATTTTCTGCATATTGAATATAGTACAATACGACATTACACAGTAACCAGTAGCCGTCGAACTCTATAACTTGCTAATATAAATAAATATCCTAGATTATACAAATTATATATTTTGAAAATTGCGAAACATGATAAAGTATTTTAGGCTTTATACGCATTTCAGAAAATATTTAACTAAAAAATGGATGGACCAAGGGCTTGGAGATTTCATAAACAAATGGCATTATGAAAGTTCAAATATAGCGACTTCAAGAGTATTGAGATAAAATACAGTATATGCTTTTTCGAAGAATCACGATTAAAAAATTGAAATTTTTGATAAAACTTGGTAAATACTGTATATTATCTGTGTATACAATAATAACTTATACTGTAACGTAAAAATGGCCTGCATCGTGTAACATAGTTTTGTAATCACTACCGACCACCTTTCGTTTGCAGCATACTTACTACTGTACTGTATTATTAATATTAAGCAAATCTACTGGCGACTTTTTAATTTATAGGTAATTCGAATTTTAGTCACACGTTCCAAAATATATATCGTGATGACCTCTTCTTGTACAATTTATACCAACATTCCTTACCTACTTATCCATAAACTAACGGTTAAAATGTCTTCGATGAATAAAAACCGCACCTCTGAACTTTTTCTGGAATAACCGAGCACATACCCCTAAAGAACTCTGAAAATCTGTATCCCACTGAGAACTATCAAATACAGTATTAAAAAACTAAATGAAACTAGAAGTATTGAGCACAAAAAAGATGCTGGTCGTCCCCCCAAAAACTTCATTACATCTGCAAATATTGGGATTTGGAATCTGGTTCCGGCAGTAATGAACCGATCCGATGATAAAACGAACCTTGAACACGAAATGTATAGACATCATTCACTGTATTAGCAAGCTCATTATGCAACATTACCCTGACCGAAAAAAGATTTTACAAAGGCGAAGGAATACAGGTTCCACTAACACCACTTTCCATCTACATAGCACATTCCAGGACTTTCAGTTGGCATTGCAGTGACTACATGCAACACTTCCAATATTAACTCGGTGTAGAATAGAATATCTGTGTCTTCAGAGAAACTGAGCTGCAGTATCATGCCAGCACCGCTTAGCATTTTCTCTTGTTTTATGAGGTGATTTGCTACACGAGTCATAAAAAAGCAAAGGTTTATAAGCTAAGCACATACATAATTGCGTTAATATTATCCCGACTTAATCGAAAGTAATACATATAGTTTGTAGTTTAATTAGTTTATGTCAAAGAAACTAAGAGTGAATCTGAAACCGAGAAATATTAATGCAACATTGATGGTGAGCTACAATATGCTTACTGATTTAAGTTGGCCACGATCTAAAAACGATTATGTTGATGTAAATTTTCAATGAATACCTTTAAACCATTATTTTGGGGACATGATAAATAGGCATCGAATTCCAACTTTGAAATAGCTCAATTTGAATAACACTCTGACATTATTTTATTTCCCGCCAACCTCTGGTTCTTACGCCAAAGCTGCTTCAGAGTCTGATAGATATGATTTTAATAAACGTAGTTACATTTTCTTATTGATTCATTTTAATCCATTCATTTTTAAGCACTATCTCATTTTTCAAATAGTGAAATTTCCGCGGAAGAGTGGATATATTATAAAATAAAACTCGGCTGCTATGTTACAGGCAAAAAGACTCATTTTTCAATAATGCATGTGTTATTTATATACTCTTCGCTTGCTTAGATTATAATTGTTATGATTATTTCTGGACAAATGTGGAATTAAATTTGAGGAACTTGTACATAATCTCTCAGAAGATTAATATTCATACTGGTTTTGGTCAAGTTATCTCTTGAATTTAGATGCTTCTTGTGCGTTTTCAATTATTTATTGTGCCGATAATTGAAGATACCGCTAAACAACGTACCACAATATATGTATTTTTTTTTCAATTTGTTTCTCTGCTTTCGACTTGGAAATGTCGCTCACATATATATAAATATCTATCTATTTTGTCTCATATGTTAATAGTCCCTAAAAAAAATCATACTTACACGGCCTTTTTAATCTAGAATTGATGTAAATTTTATTTTTTATATCACATTAATACATTAATAGTCTTAATAAAAAAAATGTTCCCGACTGACGTAATAGTATGGAAACAAATCAAATTACTTAAAAAGGACAGAGGTCGGCGCTTTGGTATTATAGATAATTCATTTCCGATACTAATTATATGTGTATTGAGTGATGCGGCATATAAGTTGTAAAATACTGACTCAACTATTGTGAATACTGAATAAAGAATTTTGAGTCTTTTTAACCTATTGTCGCGGGTCAGGGGTCTATCAGCAGTAGCGGCGAAATCCTAGACTTCGCGACACTTCGACAGGGGTATCTGT